TCTCAAGATACTGTAAAATCAAGTTTACTCCTATTTTAAAATCAAGGTTTTACCTTTTTTTTTCTTTTTTTTTTTTTTTTCCTGAAAGATATCATGCTAACTCTTTAGTAAACAAAGCAGGAGGTCAGACAGCAAAATGGTTTGGCTTATTTATGAAAGAAGTTAGAAAGGTCTTTTTAAATCTATGAACCTGGGAACTGGGCTACAGAAGAAATGCAGTCTATTTGAAGGTATTTCTTTCTTACTAAGAAAAACCTATGAGAAAACTTAGTCCATTCTTTTTAAACCTGAATTTAAATCTAAGTGATGGTTGTACTGATATAAACGGGGGCTAAAATTGCTACTTAACCTCAGGAGGACAACACTTCTTATTTCATTGTGGCCTATACTAATTTTTTGAAAGCATGACTGAATACTGAATGCACAACTATGTGTCAATTGGTACCATCACTATGTACCAGTGGGACAGTCTGAGTGATATAGCCATTTCTCAAAATTTAACATATCAACATGTTCAACTCGGGACATCATTTTTCTCCCCCTCCCTGAGGGAGATATGCATGTTGGTGCAATATTTGTCTCTTGACATTTGCAGTGAAGAACTAGCCAAAATTTACATAAAGACAGGTGATCAGTCCTATCAAACACAAGGCCAAGCACTGCTGCCCTCACTTGACTGCCATCCTATATAACAGAAATCACAGTGCTTCCCAGAATTAATCCCTGGAGGTATGTATTTTTAGCCGTCATCTTCCAATAATCTGCAGAACCACTTAGAAATTTCATCTGTGGTTTGTAGTATGGAACATATGAAAGACTCTGTTACCTTTACAGAGCTTTTCAAAGTGATCAATAGACCCCATGAGTTCCTAAGCACAGCTTGAGACCACTTGACTGGTTTTAGAAAAACATCAAATCTTGCCTTTCACATTTTTAGTGGTGAAGAGTATACAACTTACATTTCCATAGCTTTCTACACTGAAAAGTGTGCCTTTTACTTCTAACCTTAGTTTGTCTAACTCCAGCTTTCACCTTGATATGTCATTGTCCACTAGACTGAATAGTCTTCTAGAATCAATATCCTACATCTGGGATGTAGCTGTGACCCCTCTGATTTCCTTCTAGATAAGCTAAATGGCTTGTGATTTTTAAGCTTTTCCCTAAATGGCATGTTTCTCAACCTCTAACCAATTCTGTGGTTTTCCTCTCAGTGTTTTTCACTTTATTGTGGTCTTTTCTAAGACTTTATTCACAGGAACTTGATGCAGCAGTCTAATAATAACAGAAGAGAGCATAATGCCTCTACTCTAATTGATATTCCCTTTCTTAAATAAATATCCAAGGATCCCAGGGATAATGCACAGAGATCTTGGGTTTTGCTACTTAATCACCATAATTCAAATGTTCTAAGGGGTGGACACACAGTACATCTGTTCTCCATGGACAAACTGTATGACACTGGGGCATCTCCCAGCCAACAAATGATAACAGGGAAGGGCTACAGTCCATTGACTTCTTTAGTAATCCACCCCTGTAATTTTTTTTCTGCATCAGTGCTTTCTAGGATTAACTACTGTATCCATTAACTATTTGGTCTCTATGCTCTCTCCAGAGCCAGTGGCAAGAAACTGGACTTCCCAGGTCATCACCGTACAACTGCCTAAAACCGCTGGGCTAGAGTGCCCTCTGATGGGTATCCAATTCTCTTCAAGAACAATGAGAACCTGTGTGACAGGCATACACCAGACACTTTCAGAGGATGAAAATGAGGTCGGGTAGATGCCGCAGGCACTGGGCAGTGCTGTCATTGGCTATTTTAAAGGATGAGCTGCATAAGGACTCAGATTTACAGTTTTACCCAGTATCTACACGTCTGTCTCTATATAACACCATTGCTATAAATCATCCGATTACTTCTCCAAGGTTTTTGTCATATTCAAAAGTCATGAGTAATGACTGTATTTTTCCCAGGTCATTGTTGAAAATGCAAATCAATGAAGAAGTAAAAATTAGCCTAAGTGGTGGTCTCTTAAAAAAAATCCAATTAATAATGTTTTCCTTTTATGTAAACTCTTTTAAACCTGTCATTTAACAAGTTTTGAAAACATTTAGTATGCATGACTTTCATTCAACATAAGTCAAATTGTGTGGTACCAAGTGGTACCTTATGAAAGCCATAATTTGATGCTATTCTGTTTGTAAACCAGATTTCCAAGTCAGCATGATAAGATTTTCCAGGTTGATTAATATTTATATTATTTTCCTTTTAATTTTTATTAATTGAGTTTCATATCAACTGTTAGAGTTTTTTTTATCAGGATCCCAGTTGGGCTGACAAATTTGTAATTACCTGTGTTATCACACTTATAAATCAGTATGTCCTTTTGTGTAGTAACCATGACTTGCTATAGGTCTTCCTGTAAAAATCATCCAATGCTTTAAATTGTCCCAAACCCTTAGAATACAGATTAGCTAATGTGCCAGAAAGTAAAGAACCAGTCATATGCTTATAAAAACATCTGAGCATAATCCAAATTTCTCACCCTTTGACAGGGGGTTTTGTGACACTTTATTATAAAGATACTCTCAATTTTTATTGGGTTTAGTGCTTTTTAAAGTGAACTGAGAAGCTGTAGCAACAGTGGTTTAAGTGTAGACCTTTTCAACAAAGGTTTATCAATGCACATCATCCTTGCTGCTCTGTCCCAAAATCTTTCTCTACACCTATACATCACATTGAAAAATCTGGGATGTTTCGATACTGGGTACAAAATAAATATCCATAGTTCATAGGGCTGGGCCTCTATTTTGGACTCCACAATAATATTCCATGGCTGTTTTCTGACCTGAAAAAAATATTTGTTTCTTCTGCTACAAAAATATATTTTGCTTTAGAACAAAGAATGGCACCATCCCATGCTTTGCAAAGAGAGGAACAGAAATGTTCCATAAGCATATGGTAAGAGTTATACACAGTTCCTCCTGATATATATCAAAGCCATTGGTGGTGGAATCCACCTGCCTGTTTTCATCACTGTCTAGTTTATGAGGTCTCATGCTGTTTTGCTTGAGAATTCTCTAAGCAACAAGTACCTTTGCTGCAGAAACACAAATTTCATTTTATGCACCACAACACTATGTACTCTTAAAAAAAAAAAAAAAAAAAAAACAGTGCTGAGGAAACCTCAGTTCTGTGCCCTGGTCAGCTTGAGGAAGTTTAAACTTATAGTCTTTATTAATCCAAGGAGCACAGCAGCCAAACAGCTGTGGAATATTTAAGGCAAAAGTCTGTTCCACTCTTGTGTCAAAGCTGGACCTGTGCAGTCAGGAAGGCATAGGGCCAGACAGACTTTGGTTCCAGACAAGCTCTTGGGAAGACATATTATATAAGAAAATTTATGTGGATGAACCTGGGTACAGAAAGAGAAACAGCCTTGGAAACAGTGCCCTTTCTTGACTGAATTATGCCACTGCTCAGATAATGTCAAAACACCTTTTGTCTGACTTTTGGGTGGAAGGTAATCTGTTCTTCTTTATCGTCCTCTTCCACCTTAAAATGGCCACTCACCCAAACAGTTATGGGTTCTAGCATCTTGAGTCTAAGACAGAAGGAGGGGCTGAGGACACTAAGTAAAGCACAAGTTCACCACGAGGTTGTGGTAAAGGTCAGGATATTGACCACCTTCTTTTATGTTAAAAGGTACTTGCACTCAGAATATAGCTAAGGAGATGGGATTCTATTGGCATTTTCTGCCAGTTTCTTGTAAGGCAACTGGAAAGAGGCAGACTTACTGACTAGATGAACAAGACATCTCCGGAGCTCCCCACCCTCATTTCCTCTATGTCCTCTATTTGACTTTCTACTTCTATTAGGCTGATTGAATAGACCAGTCTGTTCACCCAGTTCCCCCCCTGAAATGGGCACCTAAAATGTAGGCACATCTGCTCACAAATGAAGGACTGTTGGAGCCTTTCCATTATCTACCACATGGGAGCAGGATTAGGTTCGCTGTCAGTTTTGGGGAACATGAAAGGGATAAAGAAGCATGAATTATGCATAACAGAATTGCACCCTACTGGTTTCTTAAGACATACAAGATGTTTCAGTCCCATTGTCATCCTAACATGCTCTCAGAGAAAATGCTTCACACAGCCAGAGGCAGTTCTCAGAGTGCAGCAAGACTCATCGAAGACTCCTGGTATAGCACCGTATTGACATTCCCCTTCTGCTAATGAGGTATGTTTCACGTTGTTAAAGGTCTGGCAGCATGTTACAGTTTGCTAGACTGGCTGAGAGTATATGAAACGTCTTAAGAAATAAAGTAGGGAAGGATTTATTAGAGAACTGTTAAAACCCGAGTGTTTTTTCTTTTTTTTTCCTGCATCTTCCTTTTGATTATTTTCACTGCAGCTAATGGAAGAAGAGTATTAAACTAGCAATCTGATCACAATCTTCACATACCTTTGGTTTAGACCCAAACTCTTCCAGCAAGTAATACAATCTTTTAATACCAGACCCAACTGAATGAGGGTCTAAATTAGTAGGAATTAACTTTTTATGAAAGGTTTTTGACAGCACTTGGCATGACACAAGAGCCCATGTATTTCTCCCAGGGACAACTGCGGGTTATTCACCAATTTTCCCACAAAGTCTTCTCACCCGCCCTGGCGCAGTTCAGTGGTTTGAGTCATTCAGCCCAGAGATGACTTTTTCGTGGCCACTGCGGGTCCAAGCGTGACGGGACCCTCCGGTGCGCTGCCGCTTTGCTGGCGGGGAGCCCCTGGCACACGGCTCCCACCGCACCCACCCGCCAGGAACCCGGCGTTCGCACCACCCCTCCTGCCACTTTTTGGCCGGAGTGGGGACGGCTCGGCCGGTAGCTCAGGGAGGGCCCGGGCACCGCTCCCGCCCCCTTCCCCCGGGCCGCCTCTCCCCCAGCCCCGAGCGCGGGGCTCCTGCTGCTCCAGACCCCGGCGGCGGCTCCTGCCGGCCGGAGCGGCGCTGGGCGGTGCGAGGCGACGGGCGCAGCCCGGCAGCGGCAGCCCCCGCCTGACACTGGGGCACGGCCGTGCGGGCCGAGGGGAGGGGGCGGCGGACCCGGCCCGGCCGCTCCGCACCTCCGCCGAGTTTGGCCGGCGCAGAAGGGCAGCCAAAAGTTCAGCATGCAGGAAGTTTGGAGGCAGCTCGGAGAGTAGAGCGTCGGCGGCGACTGCTGCTTCCCGTGCCGTGGGGTTTTGCTTTTTTTGCGGGGTTTGTCCCATTCCCCCTACCCACCCTGCCCCACTCCCTCTCCGCCCCGCATACAACTCTCCCAAACACACAAGCAACCCGCAACAAACAAAAAGTCCGGGAAGAGGTAAAGAACACGAACGAGGGAAGAACCCTCGGCGGGAGACCCGTTTCTTCGCAGAGACACGGTCCCGCTCGCAGCTGGTCCCAATGCAACTGCTCATCCTCCTTCTGCTCTACGCCGTCGTCTGTGCGAACTTCTGCAGCCGTCAGGGCACCACCGCCCCTGCCCAGAGCGGATCTATAAAAGCCCTGCGGGCCTCCAACATCAGGCGAGATGGTAAGTGTCCTGCTGCTTTATTTGTGCCCAAGGGCTGCATTTGAGGGGGGAGCTCTGAGCGCACCTTGGGGCTGCCGTTCTTCTGTCCCAGGAGCGGGGGTCGCGTCCCCAGGGGAAGACGGGGGTCGGTCTGGCTGCGGGTCCCGTCCCCTAGGGGTCAGTCGGGGCATAGGGGTCAGTCCCCGAAGTCTGGTCCCTGGAGGCTGGTCCAGGAGCGTGTGACCAGGTGGCAGGAGGGAGGTGTGTACTGAGGGGGCGGCTCTGCCCGGCGGCTGCAGCTCCGGGCGGTCCCAAACTTCTCAGGGCAACTTCGAGGAGGTTTCCTGGGAGTCGGCGGTGCGCCCAGCGTCCCCTCCGGTCTGCGGCCGGCACCTCGCCCCTGACATCCATCGGGCCCGTGTCCCCCGTGTGCCTGTGATGTGCCGACAGCGGGGGCAATGCCGGCCGAGCGGCGGGTGTGTGGCGGCTCCGGCCGAACCGGGGCTCCTGGGGGGACCCTCGGGTGTGTGGGTGGCGGGCGACGCTGTCGCCTTAGGGCTCCTTGTGGGAAGCGGGGCTCCTCTCCCAGCCCACCCCCCCGCAGCCGTCGCCGCGTTCGGCTCCTGTAAGGGCTGTCGGGTGCCGCCCTCCCGGTGGGGGACTGCCTCGACTGCAGGGTCTCAGAGCTCGGGGTTCCCCTGAGTCTGCTGGGCGAGCAATGCCTCGCCGGGACTGGCCTCGTCCCTTGTGATGCCCAGGGTTGGTGAGCACCATGCAGGGCTGCCGCGAGCTCTCGGGTACTGCCCGCCCGGTAGGAAGGGTGGTTTCAGCTGCCGTATCTGAACTCCGGTGTTGTTCCCGCCGCGAGCTGGCAGCGGGGGATGTCCTGGACAGCCGAGATGCTGCCGAGGGTCCGCAGCGCGGCTGAGTGGGATACAGGTGCCTCGAGTGAACGGGCAGCGTGGCCGTGTGCTGTGGCCCCATGGTGAATGAATGGGGAGGCTGCATAAAAATAGCGCTGCTGAGAATCACCTCTGGAATCCACGCCTTTCGCTTTGGGAAGAGTGATGAGCTTCTGGCTGGGGAGCAGCCTGTTGAGTTCCAGCTTCACGTGGACCTGCTTTTGCACATTGCTGTGGTCCTTCTTACACAGCGAAATGCAAGATGTTGTCCCTGAAAATGAACAGAGTTAGGTTCAGTCTTCAAGTTAACATATTTCAGTTGACAGAATTTATGTTTTCTTATAAACCCTTCTCAAAAACCCAGTCACTTGAGCCATTTCCAAGACTGTACACTGTATTTGCCAGTGTTTATTTTCCAGCATGTATACAACACATGTAATGGGTATACAGTAGACTGAGGAGGAGATTTTTGTTTCAACTTTGGAGCCATATTGAACGTAATAATCTTTTGTATGCCTTTCTAATTACTGAAAGAAGGCATAGCAAAGGTGGAGAGTTTTTTTCTCAGAATTGAGATCCTGAGTCAGGATCAAGACAGAATTGCAATTCCTTCTGTTACAGAAGTCCAATTAAATCTCATTTAAAAAGTAAAACAAGTAGTGTTTGTAATAAAAGCATATATGTGTTATTTCTGTTTCATCCTTTAAATCTATTGTGTACCTTATCAAGCTTCATGACTCATAAGCCTACCATCTTAAACTTCGTAGAAGAACCAGGACCATTTCTGAACGACACTAAGCAAGTTTCCATCCAAGTCAAACTTCAAACAAGCTTCTTCATGGAAAACTGCAGTGATTTACTTAGAACATCAAAATGTGTTTTACTCTGATCTCCTCTGTGTAGTCAATGAAGAAATCATTAGCGCCTAATATAAATAAAGTTTTCATCTTAATGGCAATGTGAAGGGTGTTTCGCTCTGCAGAGGACTTCCTGTGGTAAAATTACTTCTTAGAATGATGAAGAGAACAAGCTTCTGAAATGATTAGTTAATTGCTCTCTTCCTAGTTGTGATCATTTAATGTTGTGATTAGGCTTTGCACCTTTAAAATTATCTGAGACAACTTGTAGTAGTTTGTGCATACCAGGTGGACTAATACTGGGGCTGCTGGCAGATCTATATGTAATTACATTCTGCCTTTCATCTTTCCTGAGTCATGTGCTAGTGAGTCCTACAGCCTACAGAGGTAGTGACACATGCCCACACTGAAGTCAGACACTTCTGCAATTCTTTACTGGATAGCCATTTACTGAGGAGGTAGCAGACTTTTAGGCAGACTACATACAGACCCCTAACATGCCTTGCTCTCTCTTTGTGCTTGAGAATCCTCTTTTTGTCTGCAAAGACCTTGTGTTCTGGTGTGGCCAGTGAAGATGGGTATCAGGTTACAACACCTAAAGCAGATCAGCTGCTGATCCCACTGATTTTACTCAAATGAACCAAACTGTTGCTCGAGTTTCTTGACTAAAGGTCTATATTTGTGCAGCCAAAGGTTATGAGGGGTATTCCAAATGTTACATGCATGTGATGAGCTCACAAGCAGTGTTTAGACCATGGTTGGCTGTAGGCCACTAAAAATATTTCTGTCTTTCATAATTTGAAGTGGTGTTTTTGTGTTGTTTTGGTCTGAAGCAATGATATGGAATAGCATTAAAGGCATGTCAGTTGCATCACTGAGACGGTATTTTTCGCTTTGTAAATATTTGCAGACATGAAAATACAGAGCAGGATCTAGGAGCACACAGTACACTGGGGGTAAATATGTTCCAATGGCCTTTTTCAAAGCACTCAGAAAGAATAAGAAGTAATGTAATATTATGTTCTGGGTTGATGATCATGATTATTATGCTGTGGAATTAAAAGAGATACTGAAGAGGAAGCAAGGGCTGTTCAGCTTTTTAAAAACATTATATCTTGGCAAGTCCAAGACCACCTGCACTTTCTATTAAAAAAGAAAACAATCCTTTGGATTCTATTTTTCTGTTATTTCCAAACAGGATAAACTAGTGATACTGCATACATGGAGCTTTAATAGGGAGACTTGGTCTTCCTTTCAGCCAAAGTAAACCTTTGCAATCTGCGATTTGATATTGTCTTTCTTCTTTCAGACTAAAAGAGGCTGGCCTATTTGTAATTGCTCTTACTTAAGACTGAAGTTGCTCTGATAAGAAATCTGTAGATGAGGACAGCACATAAAGTGCCATTTAATGACTACCAAACCTAACCAGACTGTACTTTCTGCTGAAGATATTAAGAATATAAATAACCTGCTTACAAGACATCCTCTTGTCCCAGTGGAAGGACGGGCATTGATGACTCAGCAGTCCAGTGTAGCACTAATCAATTTTTTTTAAGTGTCCTGGAGATGCCAGCAACACTTATAGTGCAAGTAGCGATATTCACTTAAAGTGTTTATTTATGCTGTTAAGTCCTTTGAAGTGCATTGGAATAACACACAGAGAGGTCTTCCAGATGCTTCCATTGTTCTCTTTTGACTCATTTTCCCAGTTTGCAGTATGCAGGTAATACCAGCTAATTACAAGAAGTCTGATATTTTGTTTCTCCTGTTTTGGTTGTTTATGTATACTTGGAGGTGAAAAGTGGGAGATAAATAAATACTTATTTACTCTATAATATCTAACTGAAACATCATTCGCTCTTTCTTATCTATTATTGAACAAACATTTGCTTAGTCTAGGAAAGTATTCCTAGTCCATATCTTCAGACTAAGCATCACTATACATATTTTAAACTTTAAACTCCAAAGTTTAAAGAAAAAGCAGAACAAACCAGACAGCATAGTGTCAAATCATTTCAGTATGTAAACAACTGAAAGCTATGGAATCAGTGTCTTCTGATGTGGATTTGAAACCATAACATCAGATGACTCAAGATAAGACTCTGTGTTCTTATGGTTTTCATTAGGAGTAAAAAAAAATAAAAAAGGAATTTCCAGACTTTTACTTGCTTGTGCACCACCAAAATACAAAGAAAAATTGTACTTTATAATTCTGGGGAACTGCCAACAGCTTTTGGCTCTTTCATGGCCAGTACAAATGGATGTGTGCCATTAACTCTACCCTCTTCTTCCCTGCATTGACCTGTGCCTAATCATGACCAAAAGTAGTCGGTGATTTGGGCAGTATTCTCTCACCAAATAGGCATTGAGAGTCTGATCTTGGGAGAAGATACAACTGTGTTGTTTTCTGGGTTTTGTTTGTTTTGTTTTGTTTTTAAGATTAGATGGGGAACTAGTTTATATTAAGCATCCCTCCAATCCAAGTCAATCTATGATTTTATGATACTGGGAGAAATTCTTTACTGTGAGGCACTGGCACAGGTTGCCAGAAAGGCCTACTCAAGGATGGGGCTCTGAGAACCTGGTGTAGTGAAAGGTGTCCCCGCTCATGGCATGGGGGTTGGAACTAAATGATCTTTGAGGTCCATTCAACTCAAACTATTCTATGATTCTATGGTTTTGTGTTTCCGTGTTTCCATGACTCCAAGATTTTGTGAAATCTCTCCGGTATGACTGGTGATATCGGAACCTCAGGTTTGGAATGCACTTACTGAGTTCTTTTATCATAGGCTTGTATACATTTCTAAAAGGACTGTAGTAACATAAAATTGTGTCAACTGTAAAATGGATAGAATAAATTTGGTTTTATAGGCTTTATTCCCCCAATTTTGTAGATTTTGCATAAAAATGTGTATTTCAGGCTTCATCAGGTTTTTTTGTTTAAAAGCCTTAATAATTTCCCTGTAGTAATACACTTTGGTCTACAATTGTTTAACATCTCTTATCTGTATAATTAACAGTTTGGACTGAAGTATCAAAGGATATTGCATGAGAATTTCAACCTGACTCAGCAGCAAAAAGCATGGAGGAATTCTCTAAAGGAGCTTGAAATGTGTTTTATCAGACAGATTTATATCATACAGTCAAAGTCACTATAAACTCCCCAGCCAGTCTCTTGAAACTTCGTGGGTGTTTTTTGGTGTGGTGTTATTTTTAAATTTTTTTTAATGTGTTTGTATGAAATGGAATTCTTAAAAGGCTT